AAAAAAAAAAAAAAAAAAAAAAAAAAAAAAACCCACTCAGTAGCCAATTTACATGGCAAAGTGGAGAGACTCTAACAGAGAGAGACCAGTTGGGATTTAGTTGTACCCCAGCGCTTTCTTACTCATAGAAGCCCTGACCGCAATCTGAGCTTTCAGCTCTTGGAGATTTGATGAACATTAATTGAACCTCAAACAAGTCAAAGCTTCCCCTGATGTCCTTTGGCTAAAGTAAGGGCAGAAAGGAGGTAATCCTTTTCCTCACCATCATATGGGTCATGGTCAACACTCCTATAACAAAAGACAGGTTAACAAGAGAAAAGAATAACATGTTTATTTTACCATAGTTTTACATGACACGGCAGCCTTCAGATTGAAAGGGAAAAAAACATTTTTATGCTTAGGTTTTTTTTTTTTTTTTTTTTTAAAGATGACCGGTAAGGGGATCTTAACCCTTGACTTGGTGTTGTCAGCACCACGCTCACCCAGTGAGCGAACCGGCCATCCCTATATGGGATCCGAACCCATGGCCTTGGTGTTATCAGCACCGCACTCTACCGAGTGAGCCACGGGCCAGCCCATGCTTAGGTTTGATAAAGCAGGGACAGCTGTGTAGAAATGTGACTGGACAAAACGGGTATGAGCTAATGGAAATAAATTGAGTGGGAAAAACTAGCAAAGCCTGTCCAGATTCTTCTGAGCCTCTTGTAACATTTCTTCCTCCCGGGTATGGGGTAGAACTCCTCTGGAATAAGGGTCTTAATTTCATCATGGCCAGCTGTCACACAGAAAGGCAGGGTGGGGAGGGAGTTAGAGTAGTATTTTTAGGCTTTATGGCTGGCTTTGGGGGAAAGGGGTTCTAATTACTATGACCCACCTTGGGGAAGAAGGATTCTAGTTTCTGTGGCTTGCCTCAGGGGAGAATCAGGGGCAGGAGACAGGAGGGCAGGAGAAGGTAAGAGAGAACTTTGCTTCTGAGGCCTTCAATTTGGGGTATCGTTTTCAGATCCTCAACACTAGGTTAGTTGGAGAAGATGAGGGCAGGTGCTTGGAAAACAAATGCTTTTTTAAAAAATCCTTTTCCCAGCCAGGTTTATTCCCCGTAAAGGCACACTGCTAGGGAGGAAAAAGAGAAGGGCAGATGCTGAGGCCCAGTAGAGAGGGCCTGGAGCGAGGAAAAGTGGCCTGGAATATCCATGTTTTCTTTCCTTAGTGGGTCCAGAGATAGAGAATAGGAGATACCAAGATAAAAGACTGTCTCCTTAACTCTGGGTGGCATCGAGACAATTCAGGTCTGGGAAAAGTGCCCCTACCGCTCAGGGGCTCAAAGTCAGGAAGTAGTTACTGAGATCAGATGTGAGAGCCTTGGAACTTGATCAACCCATTTCAGAGCGGTCTGCTACAGATTCGGGCGGCCTCCTGTAGGGGGTGGGGGTGGGCGTTTGCTCAGAAACATCCAGATGAGAGTCCTGGAACTGGGAATGTGGTGAAAAGAGCCTTAATTGCCAGCAAGCAACCTAATTTCAGAGCCTGTCTCCTTATCTGTAAAATGAAGTAGTTGGACTTACTTTTTTTTTTTTAGAATGATGACTGGTAGGGCCGGCCCGTGGCTCACTCGGGAGAGTGCGGTGCTGATAACACCAAGGCCATGGGTCCGGATCCCTATATAGGGATGGCCGGTTAGCTCATTTGGGAGGGCGTGGTGCTGACACCACCAAGTCAAGGGTTAAGATCCCCTTACCGGTCATCATTCTTTTTTTTTTTTTTTTTTAAAGATGACCGGTAAGGGGATCTTAACCCTTGACTTGGTGGTGTCAGCACCACGCTCTCCCAAGTGAGCCACGGGCCGGCCCTGTCGTCGTTATTTCTGTCATTCCCACTTTGAGGTGATGGAGTCTCCTCCCGAGCCGGACTCGAACTCGTCGCCGTCCATTGCCTACCCCAGGCTTTCCCTGCATCCCGATTCTATTACGGCCGCTGCACTTTGCCGGACCACAGGCAGGGCGGGGCGCGGCGCCGCCACGGTTTGTCCTCAGCGCGCCGCCGTAGCCCGCCGTGGTCCCGTGGGGCCCCTTCCCGCCGAGGCGCGAGCGCCGCAGTGGGCGGGCCTGCGCGCTCCGCCCGCCGTGCGTCCGTGCGTGAGTCCGGCCCCCGCGAGTTCCGGAGCGGCCCGCGAGCTCACACCCGGCTTCTCCTCAGCTTTAGTCTGAGCCACTCCATCGCCATTATGCTAGGCGCTGCTCTCCGCCGCTGCGCCGTAGCCGCAGCCGCCCGGGCCGGCCCTGGAGGTCTCCTGCACCCCGCCCTGGCCCCCGGCCCCGCCGCCGGTAAGGCCCCTGCCTGCAACTGCCTGCTCCCGCGTGTCCTTGCGGTGACCTGGCCCCCGCCGCCACTCGAGGGCAGGCTCCCCCCGCGGCCTAGCCTCTGCCCTGAGAGCCGGCGGCCGAACTCAGTGACCGCGGACCGCCCTGGCCGCCGCCTCGGTTTGTGGAGGACATGAGGGCGCGCCCCTGGGGTCTCCCTTCCTGCGACTTCCTGGCGCGGGCACCGCCGTCGGGTCAGGTGTGGATCTTCTGAGGGCGCCGAGGAGGGGGCGCGGCGCTCCCTTTCGGCCCCCGGGCCTGACCATGCCCCGGCCCCGAGCCCGCGGCCACCTGACCGGGAGTGGCCACCGCCGGCCTGCAGCGCCTCGGCGAAGGTGACATTGAGCCTCGGGGCGCGCCGCTCAGGGTAGGGGCGGGGGTGGCCCCTCCGGGGACCCTGGCACCGCCACCCGCACCCAGCGTTTCCAAGGACACAGTATCCTTTTTTTTTTCTTTTTAAGCAGGCATTTATCGATTAATGTTTTGTGTGTCACCACAGCCGTTCTGTCATTTTTAGGGACTGCTATGCCACGTTCTAATTCATCCACATTTAAAATAGACACGTGTGATTGTTTTCTCCCATCTGGAAGAGAGCCTGAATATTGATAAGTTTATGATAAGAATATTACTGTTTCGAAAATTGGGTACCACAGTCCTAGGAGTGCTGAGCTTTACAAACATGGCAAAGCTTCATGGTTTTTTCCCCTTCGGATTAGAATCCTGATGGTTGTAGTATAAAATGTGCTGCAAATTCTTGTCTCTTACTTTGTCTTCCGCTAACATGTTCCGGGAAGTTTTGTATCCAACACTGTACTTTTTTTTTTTTTTTTGGCTGCTGGCCAGTACGGCAGCACTGTACTTTTCACTGCAGTAACTGCACTTTGACCTTGGTCTGTGATGGCAGTACATCTGCTACATTATGAAATTTAGCTCCTGTGCATGTTTATTTAAACATAAGAACTCAGAAACTCAAACGACTAATAACGTTGTTCACTTAACTGTTTGGGTTTTTATAACTAGCCACTTCAGAACCTAAAGAATATGTTTCTTTCTTTCTTTCTTTCTTTCTTTTTTTAAAGATGACCAGTAAGGGGATCTTAACCCTTGACTTGGTGGTGTCAGCACCACGCTCTCCAAGCGAGCGAAAAAGCCATCCCTATATAGGGGTCTGAACCCGTGGCCTTGGTGTTATCAGCACCACACTCTCCCGAGTGAGCCACGGGCTGGCCCTAAGAATGTTTCACTTCAGCCGGCCCAGTGGCGCACTCGGGAGAGT